CTAGTCATTTGAAGGAGAGGGTAAATACGATATCGAACGGTGGGCGGGAACGGATCGTTCTGGGTGCAAGGATCGAAGTCCAATGCGCCAAGCGCCTTTTGCGTGAAAAGGTGCGACCACTGCAATGATGGACCTAGCAGTTCTATCTCTCCACGGGAGAGTTTAAGTCAGCGGAGCTAAGCCTGGACCTTGCCTTCGAACCTACATGAATTGCGCCGAACTCGATTGCCTTCTGAGCCAAGGAGCCGGGTCGCTCAGCCGCTTTACCGTCATCTTTCGGTCCCCAGCTGACCGAGTAAATGTCGATGCGGTCACTTCTGAAAATCATCGCTAGGGTATTTAGATATGTTTCATCGATTCGCTACACATTAAGCCTATATTTTGGCCCACAGCATTAGTGCTGCCCATTTCCCTACACTTGGTGTGATGAAATACCGTCCTACAAAGTGCCCATCTGATGCTTGCTATTGCGAAAATGTTTCGGAAATATACAACAGGTATGAAAATAGCTCGGTTTCAATTCCACTATAAACATCACGCTGAATAAATCGATATCAATCAATAGTGAGTCTCACTTGTACGCGAGTGCGTCTCCTTCGATAGCGTCGTTGAGAAATTGAGTTTCAGCAAGCACAGTCAAGCCTAAAGGTTATCATTCACTTTCCACCCTTATAATCAAGCGAAATGCTATCAGTACTCTCCACTTTTTACTATTGACATCAAACCTAGAATTACCTCCAAGTCGAGAATGATGAGCCACACCAACACCACACTTGGAGTTGTTTGCTGCCATTGCAATTATTCCAGCGCAACGGGTACCATGTCTGAAGAGAGGCTTGTTTAGTGAGAAACAGGGAGCGCAACCAGAGTCAACCCTGCGTTGCGCAGTTCGCAACGGCACGTTGAGAGATCCTCAACGCACGCTGTATGGGCGGAGACACAGACGGCTCGAGCATGCGAGTGTGAATGTTCGCGCGAGAGAACGTGTCTAATCGGGCGAAACTGCGCAACGTGGCCGTTGAGAACTGCGCAACGCAGGGTTGACTCTGGCGCAACTTCTGACTTCTGTTATGCTTAGGTTATGTTATGTTGTGTCAATAGGATTTATCATGAACAGTGTAATGGCAAGTGGCGCCATCTCTCACGAGCACGGTCCGAAGCTCAAGTCTTGGACCTAATCTTGCACAGGTTAGCCAAACGTTTCACCTCTGGGGTCAGTCAAATGGTATCGAACTTCTCTGGGAAGATAAATACACTGAGATACATATCGGCTGTGTCTCGAAACTGTTGCATATGCTGAACCCCATTCAAAGACCACTACAATTCTAAATGAAAGCACAACGCGTAGCGCGTCTCAGAAAGGGACGGACTGATCAACGCTGAAACCTTTCATTGCACAGTTGTATCTCTAGTCTGCTGGCTTCAAGCCACGGGTCGGGGTTAGGTGCCAAGAAGTGATCCCTTCTAGAGTTAGAAAGAGGGGTGTGCAAGCGCATGAGGCGTGACACTGCCGCGACGTGGCGTCTGCGCCCTCTCACTTACGACGTGCTCCCTCGCGTTTCCCTCTCCTCCCCTCGGCGCTGTGTCTCTTCGTCACGGCACGGCCGACTTCGCGAAAGGATTTTCAATAATCTTTATAAGGGTTTTTACTTTTTTCTCCTCACTGACATTTCTCATTGCACTTCTTATCTAATTCATGGCAGAAAACACACCAACTCGATCCCGTCCCGTGCCTTCAAGGGCACATCCCTTAAATCCGTACGTTCCTTGTTGTGAGTAGAGCTGTCCACTGAGGAAGAACATGTGCTAACGCTGTACAGAAGTGCACTAACAAGAAGAAGGCCTCGCTTTTGCTTCTGCATGGGCTTAAGGTATTGCAGGCGATGCAACGCAACGGAATGTTTGCTTGTCCCTTATGTTCCCTCGTCTCGAAGTCTTTTCTTTTGCATCGGCGCCTAGTGCTTCTTAGTTTCCTGGAACTTTCTAGAAAATGCAGACCAAAAAAACAAGCCGTATTTCCAGTATTTCGACGACTTCTTTTTTGTTCACTGGATCATCTTAGCCACTCTACTTTTACTTCTATCGCGAATAGCGATACCCAGCATGTCAAAAGGCCTGCTGATCAAACAATCGAGCCTGAACTGAAGAACTATGCCGAGACTAGGAAATCAACTTCAGGCACTTTAGAATACTAGAATCAGATCCATGAAGATAGGCCACGTAATCGTTTTACATTAAAGTCTTAATTAGGATGAACGATGCGTCCGATTTTGATGATAATGCTCCATTTCCCATTACTAGCGCAGTTTGATGGCATTAAAACAGGATCCTTAAAGTCTATTAGTGGCTGCTACTTATCCACTGTATGTTTAACTAATACCACTAGAAATCATGACGATGTGAACGCATCAATAACAGCGTCTCACGTCTCATCGGGGCTCGGGCCTGCTGCATGATACGAAGCTGTGCGTAAATGCTCGATCGTACGATGTTCGGTCGTCATGACATCGAGTGCATTCGTCTCCTAAAACTAAAAGAAATAAAATCAATGCGCTAATCAATATCCTTTTTGATTACACGCCACGCATTCTTTCGTCGAAGAAATTGGAAATCTGAACAAACACTTCTCGACATAACAGCGGCGAGAGGGGCCATTCAGTGTTCTACATCTATATACAGGGGGGGCAAAAAAAAAGACATTTTGCCTATGTCGGACTTCGGCTCTTTTTTCTTCGCAGAGATTGCTGTCGTTGACGGGAGTTCCTCAGCAGAGTATTCCCTAAGTGTCCCTCTATAAGTGACAGGCCCCTCCTTCACTGCCCTCACCGTCTTCAGAATATGACGTCATCTGTCACCGTCGTCAGGCTCAAGGAGGTCTACTGTAAGTGCTTCAGCCTGAAGCTCTTACGCAATTTCGTGAATCGATTTAATGTTGGATACTTTTCTAGAGGCGTTAGCTCCCACTATACAAATCCCTCGAAACGAGCTTTCCAGTAAAGGTCGTTATGGTACAGAATCCTTCGAAGACCCCATTGAGCTCGACCAGTGCACCATGTTTCCAGGGCAAATTCTTCTGTTGCCGTCCACGTGGGTGGCCAACATGAAGATTTTCTTATAGAATGAAATGTGCTCTTCAATATTAAGTTGGGAACACTCGGTCTCAATTGAGCAAAGTGTGCTTAAATCCATCTGAAAGTGGAGACAAAATGTCTTTTTTTATTGCCCCCCCCCTGTATATACACATTTATTTATTACATCAGGTGGCAAAACACTGAATCAAAAGTAGTAGTCCGCGTGTTTGTCCTCCCAGACGAGCTGATGTCAATAAATTGATCCCATTTGTAATTGCCCGGGTCAGGAATTGACCATGAATCGTGGAGGCCCAGTCAGGAATTGACCCCCCCCAAGGAGAGCTGTGCCACTTGTCATTATGTACATCTCATCTGCTCGTCTTTCTAGAATATTGGCAAAAGCGACTGAAAAACCGAACTCCTGCTCGTTGCACGGCAGGGAGTGCCCATATGCATACTTGCAGCTCACGAGAAATAGGGAAAACCTTTTTTTCTGAAAAATCCCTCCGGAAAACTCTAAGCGTTTGCCACTGTGGGCCAGGAGAACTTCGTGTAAGAGCTATTGCGAGATACGGGGCGTAGTATGGAGCGGCAACGCTTTCAAAACCGCGTCGTCGAATGCTCCGAACAATTTTCACCTCTCCTGGAGTTCCTGCCATCGTCCTAGGTTTGGTCTTGAGAGGTGGCCCCGCATCTTGCGATAGCGCCGCTCAAGTGCTCTACTGCTAAGCGTGGCTTGACAAAAAATGAAATATATGGATTCCACCGAGATCTTAGGGTTTGGACCTGTGCTCCAGTTCTTTGCAGAAAGTACTAAGGGGAACACATCGAAGAGGTCGCAAACGTAAGGGTTAGCCTAATTATTCTTTATCATTGTCAATATTAGGAATATTGGTCATTCGAAGATAAAGATGTACTTCTTGAGAACCCGTGACAAAGAATAATAAAGATCCCAAAAAATGAAAACAATCGCTTTTTGTGGAGACTACACTATTATTCATTGGGTTGAATTTATTCGCTTGTAAGCAAGAACTCTAGGTTTGTAATACTTGCACATGTGAGAAAGCGTGGCGCATCCCACCCCTGGTTTTCGAGGATCCACTTACAACTAACTACACACAAAATTATATTTAATCATAACTATTACAACTAAAAGAAGTTTTCTGAACCTTCAGCTTACCAGTACTGCTAAGGCCTTTTCCTGTGAACCCTTGCGCCCATGTTTCTGGAATCAACATGCTCGGAGGCGAACGACCACTGAACCGGACTAGGGGAGCGCTTGAATAGGCTATTTGCTTAACGTCGTAAATACAAACAAAAACAAACAGAAAAACGAAAAAAACTGAGTCGATTTTGCACAAGAAATTCGAAGTCTCTTTCTAAATGATAGTTATGAAGTCACCGTACCGAACGTAATTGCTCGTCGTAGAGTGGATCCGAGTACAGCACTGCTCTTTTCTCGCGATACAGAGGAACAAGCTCCGCCCATTTTAGGCTGAGAGTAGTATAAGTAATTGATTCAAAATTTAAGGCGAAGTGTGAGTGCCACGCGGGCGGTCCGGGATCAAATCCTGGGTCGTGAGTCGCCCGGGCCAACCAAGCCTTCCATCCCTCCGGGGTCGGTTAATTGGTACCAGACTTGTCTGGGAGGATAAAAAACACTGACTTGAACATCGGCTGGCCCCGCAAGTCATTGTAGGCCACATCGCATTCAAACGCCACTACGAATGTACAAATGGAAGTAGAATGCGTGCCGCATCCCAAAAAGGGATTGATCAACGGCAAATGCTTTATCCTTTATCCTTTATTTATAAATTAAATTTAATATGCATTAATGGGTTTTTTAAAATTATACGAAGTTATCGATACTATTTAATTCTTTCAGGGATACGACGCAAGCTAGGGTCGGTCCTACGTTGTACAAAGTATCAACGGGGTCACTATTTGGATGATTTTCAGAGGGGGGAGTCGGACTTTTTTATTGTCTTTTCTACTTCGTATTGTAAAAAGTTACATGAAAGGGAGGAGGACGTAAGCAAACCAGCCCTTTTGGCGTTTCGGCTGGGACCGTATGCTGAATGTTGGGGAGGGGATGGGGTCCCCAACGGTCGACGGTTTACTTCAACTCGGTTGGTACGATAGGAGAGTACTGACGCAAGTGGTGCAGCTGGTCCAGCAGCTCCGCCAGAAGGACTGGTTTGCTCACCCTTGGACTAAGCCTTGGAGAGGGGACGGACCCGTCCTCTCTTTAAGGCTTAGTTCTAAGGTAAGCGCCAAATTGTGGCGGTTCTAAGGACCGCGTTGAAGTTGTCCGTCCACCGTCGGGGACACCATCCCCTCCCCAACATTCAGCATACGGTCCCAGCCGATGTGCCAAAAGGGCTGGTTTGCTTACGTCTGAGGGTAAGGGTAGTGGTTCGGGGAGAAATTTTGCCGGTTCAGCGCAACGTATAGATCCCCTAGAAAATGCGAGGGAGCCGGGCGAAAAGCGGTGGGATTAAAGGTAGGAGGGGTAAATTGGTGGAAATTTAGGTAATTTTTACGGTTTCAGAGTGACTATATACCCCCCCCCCGCCCCCGCTCGACGGCATTTTTGGAGGAAAAAGTGGGCGGAGTTTTCGTGGTCGAGTGATACCAGAATGAAATACTATAGCGAGGAATATGGTGGTCGAGGGTCGAGAAGGGGGTCGTACCAAATCCACCTTTGGGGGAGGGGGGTCGTAAAAATTTTTCGAAAAGTAGCAACGATAGGACCGACCCTGCTCGACAATACGGGACTTTTTCTTTGCAAAGATTCCAAGCTATGAGAAGAACATTTTGCTCAAGGAGAACTCGTGTTTCTCCCTTCCCGGGCACCGGTGCCCAACTGCATCTCCAGGGTACCTTTCACATACAACAAAGCCCGTAAATTGGGACTGATTTAGGCGACATATTTCGCCCACTGTTCAGTATAGTTGCGACTAATTAAGCTATTTTCAAGTAATTAATCTAAAAGATAATTTTTTACTTCCCATGTGATTCCGTAATCTTCCACAATTAATCACTAAGGCACGGGTGTTCTGGAAGTGTAAAGAAGAATGCTTGCCATAACGCTCTCCAATGAAAAATTAATGGCAGAGTAGAAAATGAACCAGAAAAAAAAAACTATAAAAAGAGAAATAGAAGAGTTACATAAAAAATAAAGAAATCTCAGAAGGGAATATGCAATATGCATGAAATATGAGTGAACAGAATTGATCTACCTCTTTCAGCGAGATGAGTTCCTTAACAATCTCTCCGGTACTCCGTTTCTGTCGACCTCTTTGCTGGCAAGGTAGATGTTTTCGAATGATTGAAGCTGAAACAGTATTCGGTGTGCAGCGGTTAGCGCTCTTGACTGGACGTCACTGATGGCAATCAGGTTTTTATGCAAGGCCTTCTTATGAAACTATCAGGTGCCTATCGATTAACTTGAAGACAGTACTCTAAACAGTGAGGTTAGGGGGCAAAAATCCCCAAAAATTAGTCCACAAGTTAATCAAAATCGACAGCTGCAGAACAATTCGGGCACAAGCCTAGTCAGGCACCAACCCCTCAACTTTGTTGTTAGGCATAAGTAACCAGATAAAAAAGACACAGAGAGTCCTGGAACACCTCCTAAACTCAAATAAATAAATAAATAAATAAATAAATAAATAAATATAGGCAGACATCTCACTAAATACCCCGAACATGACGTCTCACTAAATTGCCCCCGCTAACCGGGTAAGTCATTCAGGGCGTAGGAGCGCTTTATCAAGAAAGTTGTTCACATTTTGTAAATTGCGTGCTGGAGTATGTGCGTGGAGTACAAGGCTGTTGATGATTCCTTCTGAGCTGCCCGACTGCCAGAAAAAGGACAAAAAAAAATTCTCGGAAAGTGAAACTACATCATTGTTTATATATTCTACGGAAATTGTAGCTTAAAATCATAGGATTCCTTAGCTTCTCTGCTTGACACTTTCTTTCCGTTTCTATTCAGATGAAACTCTCCAAACAGCTTTATGTGACGACGGTTTGGGGCTCACTCAGCCCTTTCTCACCTTCAGTTCACATCATTTGCTGCAATACTTCAAGCTCTTGGGATCAACCCGCCCTAATCCAATTTTTTCCTAAGTTGGTCAGTTGTTAAGGCTTCTTTCGTTTTCAATGTATTGTAATTGTCTCATCTAGATCGATTGTTGATGTAAAATTAGCATGTTTGTATTTGTAGACCTGAGGAAGGGCTTAAGGCCCGAAACGTCGTCACATAAAGCTGTTTGAAGAGTTTCATCGGAATAAAAACGAGGAAGAATTTGTAGCGTTTAATCATTATATATTAGGAGGGTTTTGTTCAGCGAATAAACTCAGACTTACACAGGCGCAAGAAAAAGGAAACTAGAGAAATGCAAGAATTTATCTTCGGCGGAGATCGAACCACAAGCCATATTTTTCATAATTTTTTGGGATTCCCAAAGGCTCAGAAAAAATGATCGATTCGTTTTTTAACGCTCTAGGCGTGTGGCCCTATAACATGCCAAAAACTGTTTGATAAAGCGCTTCCGTCTTCAAAAACGTTCCTGGCAAGCTAAAATGCATGGCTTATCCAGGAAAAAAAACTTGGTAAGCCTATCAGTCATACGGCGCTTCACCTTTGTGTTAAAGAAGAAAACAAAAGTAAGTGGACATGCACATATGACCTGAGCCATTTAGGAATAGCCATTTTCAGGAAAAAAGGGATAAAAGTAGGAAAAGAGAAATCTTCTCTATGGTAATGAAATTCACTACTACATACCCTGCCCTCGATGACGAAACCAGCTGTTCGAGCTATGCTCTCCACCAAGTCGCGATCGGCAGCATCAACCTCGATAGCAAACCAGTCGTCGCCGATCGCCTTAGGCTCGAGGGCCGGATAGCGCTGTGCTCTAATTGATTTCAAAAGATTGTCGACGACTTGGGTGAGCAGATCATCTGGCGACGAACAGCATGATGAAATAAGGACGAGAAAAATGAATTGAAAGAATTTCATCAAATGCGGGCTGGTGACGGCCCTTATCAGTAGACAAGCGCCGGCAAGAAAAATTCGGAATTCACACTAGGCCCCAAAATCGAACTGATATCGCCGTTTGTAGTCAAATAAATTTAAGTTCGACTAGAGGAATGCTGGGAGATCGTTGATACGTACTACAACTTTAGCGAGACTTTGACTCGCTAAAATATTAGGCGTCCGTGTAGGCTGGATGTGGTTTTTTCTTCTCTAGTTTTTCTTCTAAAATTCCTCGTTTCGCACAGGGTGTTCCGTATGTTGGCACAAGTACCAACAAGGGTTCCCATTTGGCCCACGAGGGGGAGAGTCGTAAGCGCGAAGGTCAGCAATGAAAATGTCGGCGATATCGACTTGAATTTCTGCTCTATCGGAGACGAAGACGCCGAAGCGTCCTACTAATAATGTTTACCAACATTTCAAAGGCTTCAAGGTGCACAAGGAGATATTCATTACAGCAAAGAGTGAAAGGAAGTCGGACTGTGACTTTGCAATGCATCAGTTAACCCTTTGACGACGAATGGCATCCACCGGTGGGGTGCCACTTATGTACCCTCCCTTCAAAAGCCAGAAATTGTGCGGTGCAGACCATACACCACAAGTGACGACGGCCTCCAAGTAAATCTGGTTAGTAGTGGTTCATAGTGATAGCTGATTTTTGGTAAATGATAGTTGTAATTAGTGTCAACTGATCGAATACAACTGTAACAGGTTAATCATTTCATTGGCAAAAACATTTGCATTTTCTGGAGGCCGTCGTCACTTGTGGTGTATGGTCTGCACCCGACACTTTCTGGCTTTTTGAAGGGAGGTTATATGTTCGCTGCGTGGGACAATGGCACCCAATGGTGGGTGCCACCTTAAAATTTCCTTCTTTGCGCATTCAAAACATTTGTAACACCCCAATAATTATAAGCAAAGTTCCATAATATCTATGGCTAGCACGGCTTACAGAAATGTTTATTAAGAGCTAATTTTATAGAATTTTAGAATGTGCCATTTAGCTCGCCAGCATATTAATTGGGGTTTTGCATTATTAGGCTGAAGATTAATTACTAATCAGGACTTCTTCGTCTTCTCATAGCCTTCAGATATGGAAGGAGTTTGAAGTGTACCGGAAATTCTCTTAGGACACTAGAACTTTTAAAGTTTTTGCCCTCCTTCTCTTTAAAAGCTAGGTTCCCTTCCATGATTTGGAATTTTCTTGAAAACAATATACACTATGAAACCCTGGAACTGCAGTTTTATCTGGTATACTGCTAAAGTCAAAAATTCTATAGAAAACTGCTCTTTGAGGGACAATTTTGCCCAATTGTGAGCGAGAGTTGGGCGCGCCATGAGCAAGCTACGTGCAGATCCACATCGTCAAAGAGTTAATTAGGAGCACGGCGTACACCATGACACCTAGGCGCAAAGCGCTTTTAATTCAAGTTATCAGCAGCAAAAACTGTTTTAGAAGTAATCCGTTGTTGCTGAAGTAAACTGAAAAGCAAGAAACTGCAGTCTGCAAGGATGGATTGCTGTGGAAAAGTTCCACAAAAAAATCTCGGTACAATACAACTATCACTGCCCCTAAATCCCAAAATTTTATTTTTTATTGGAACTTTGCCTACTGGTTAATTCCGATGCCCTGCTTACAAATATAGTACTCGCTTTCGAAGAGCAGAAAATAGGTACGGCGAAAAACGCCAGGTTCACACTGAATTTGTTGTGGGAAAACAGCCTTGCTGACAAGTCGGTGCCATCTGGTGTGTTGCGTCAAATAGGCCCAACGTCAACTGAATGCTATGATGCGTAATCAGGGTATCGAACTACATATATAGTGCGAAAAATAAAATTTGGTGATTTTGAGGCAGAAATGTGGATAATCGGACTGACTTGTACATCGGCTGGCCCCCGCAAGTCATTGTATAGGCCACATCGCATTCAAACGCCACTACGAATGTACAAATGGAAGTAGAATGCGTGCCGCATCCCAAAACGGGATTGATCAACGGCAAATGCTTTATCCTTTTATCCTTTAATTGTTGGAATAACACCGATCTTTGCAGGAATAGATTTTTCACTAGCGCCTGAGTGAATTCCACAATTTCCTGCTCGTAGTTTTCCAACAGACACAAACTTTTGCACGAAGTCGGTTTTGAAGGAAGGCACGACCATTTGTTTTTTACCAACGAAATGATTAGCCTGTTGTAGTAGGATTCTGTCAGCTGTCACTTATTACAACTAACATTTACCAAAATCAGCTATCGCCTAGTAAATCTTTACTTGCGGAGGACTTGCCGTCACTGCGGGACGTATTGGTCTCATCCGACGCCCTTCTCAGTTCTTTGGAAGGGGGTAGCTTGCAGGTGCGATGTATATGGAGTGGCTGCCACAAATATTTTTATCCCTTATGAATTCTGTTCTTTAATAGTTATACATACTTTATCAACGAAGCTGCATTTCAAGATGTTCTTGAAATATAGGAAAACTCTTATGATACAAAAGTAATGGATTTTAGGAATATATTTCGATATTATTTCGACGTCCACTGTATGTGAGCAGGTACCGTAAGCAGATAGCCATGATCATAGACATAAATTCGCTTATCATATGGATTATACGAGATCATATTGGCATTACGATAGAGATTAATCCATCTGATATTCGGCTTGGAGTACTGTAGTCGATAAAAGTCGAATCCTGTCGATATGTACGAACGTTGTGTATGGGCATCTTCGATCTATAAGGAACAATTTTTAGAACGATTTCTTGTCTGTACGTTCACAAGCCCAAGAATCAGTGTGGGTTAACAATATACAGGGGGGGCCAAAAAAAAGACATTTTGCCCAGTCGCACTTCGGCCTTTTTCTTCGCAGAGATTGCCGTCGTTGACGGGAGTTCCTCAGCAAAATATTCCCTAAATGTCCCTCTATAAGTACACGCAGGCCCTCCTTCACTACCCTCACCGTCTTCAGAATATGACGTCATCTGTCACCGTCGTCGAGCTCAGGGAGGCCTACTGCTTTCATCCTGAAGCTCTTACATAATTTCTTGGATCGATTCAACGTGGGATAGTTTCCTAGGGACATTAGCTCTAACTATGCAAACCCCTCGGAACCCGCCCTTCGAAACCCGTCGTAACGGTACACGATCAGTCGAGAACCCCATTGAGCTCGACCAGAGCACCATGTTTCCGGGGCAAACTTTTCTGATGCCGTCCACGTAGATGGCCACTATGAAGATTTTCTTATGAAATGAAATGCGCTCTTCAATTCTAAGTTGGGAGCACACGCTTTGAGCTGAGCAAAGTGTGATTAAATCCATTTGAGTCTGGAGACGAAAATGTCTTTTTTTATTGTCCCCCTGTATTCTGCGGGTTGGATAGGTGGCCCGCGAGTACCACATTGTGCCGTCGTCGCAGCTCAGAACGCGGTGCGCGGTACGACTTAACAAAGTGAGCTTATGATGGCTAATGCGAGCAATTGGACGAGATACCTCGCGCACCCCCATGACACGCAACGTGGAGTACAACGTAGAGGCTAATTCAAATACACGCGGACTGGTGTAGACATACATAGAGCAATCGAATTCAGCACAACGTTGTCTGGACAACCCCTTTCCCATTCTGGAGAGTTTCTTGTTTACGCGCGCCAGTCTGTTTGTTTTGGTTTTTTTCTTTCATTTTATGTCAGATCTGCCATCAGGGATGGAATTCCTTAACAACCGCTCTTATCTCACGAACCTACTAGGAGTTATTTCAAATGGCAGGGACTGCAGTGGCTGGAAACAGGTCTATCGTCTGCTTGGTAACTCACTGAAAAGGCAGAATTGTCGTATTTTGAGGTTTTGAAGGGGTGGCGATGGTCAAACCCTAACCACTTATACCCGACGTCACTTTTGGACGGGATTGAGGGCTGAGTTGGAATCGTTTCTAGCGACAGTAGCGTCAATGAGACGGTCGACACGAATTTTCGAAGTTGAGGAAAAGAAAATGGAATGGGCAAGCCGTCCCGGATCCAGAACTGATAATACTTCACGATTAGAACCAGTGGAAAGACGGGATTTGGGGTGGAACACGTCTATGTCTGGTTAAGGTCTCAGGAGGCCGGTTTGATCACATCGTTTGTTTGGTATCACTTCTTCTCTCAGACCGGCTCACTGCAGAATTAACACTTCGTGTAGATAGGACTGAATCTAGGCCTTAAGCCGATCGGTAGGTCGAGCAGATAGTTGCACTTGTCTATCGCTGAGCCGAGAGTTAAGCTAAAGGCTAATTAAGCCATGACGGAGCTTTGGTGACTTGACCTAGGAAGAGAACTGAATTTCTCTCACATCATTCAGCTCCACCAGTGAGGTGTGGTCAGGCTGCTTCCTAACGCCTTCTACCAGTGACGTCTTGACGTTACCTCCTGGCTATTGCAACCACAACCTTCTAACTGTTGTCGCCATCTTTTGCTTATAGCACATTGGCTCAAGTCGAGTCGGCGTGTTCATGCTCAACTTCTTGCCACTCCCAACGCGCAGAAGCCCGGGCACATCCTTATTGTTGCTGGATGACTTGTCTTACCGTATATAAGACTCCACATATGACAATCCCGTTTGGCGATTGCGGAATGATGATGAGCGTAGATTCGTGAGTTCGTAGATTGTTGAAGCTGTTATGTGATGTCAACCTAAAATCGAATACACCTGATGATAACAGTAAAAATTTCTTTGCTCTCCGGAAAGCAGCACCAGGTGAAAGGTCAGTAAGTCTTAAGGCCGATGTCAGACTTTGCGAATCGCGCGATTCGCTACTAGCGATTCGCTAGCGTCCGCGGTCGCGTTGCGGTACCAGCCAATTGAGTGATTCACTGGCCGCGACGCGACCGCAGACGCTAGCGAATCGCGCGATTCGCAAAGTCTGACATCGGCCTTAGGGCAAAGCCCGAGATTGGTCTGGGGTACGCGACAGGAGGCCCGCTGCCCGCGTTTCGGAATAGGTTGCCCGCGGAATTTGGGACAAGTCGCAGCGCGTGATGTGCGATGTAGGACGTACAATGACATTAAGTTGACGCGAAATCACTACAGTACGCGCTGCAATTCATCCACTGACTCTGCCTTGTTGTCGCGCGACGGGCCTCCTGTCGGGTACCCGAGATTCTGATTGGAATGAAGCTCTTTTGCGAGCTATATGGAGCGGTAGACGCAAAGCATGCACAAATGCAAGATATATAAAGTAAGGATATTCAAATGATGGAAAAAATCTGAAAAATGGAAGAAAAAGAATGTAAGTGAAACGAAGCCTCACCTTGGCTACACTGAGAAACTTTTCTTTTTCATAGTGGTACAGAATCCAAAGTGCATTCTCGTCGATGGCCAGATCAAAATAGTTCATTGATTTATTGAATAGGTACTAAACAATATTATCTCACTCCTCATAGAACGACAGATCAATAAATCAATATCCAAGAAGGAACTAACATTGTTACCCTGGTGTGCAGCACCAGGGATTTCGATCTCATCGTATCGTCCTGTAGTCAGCTCAAACTTTCCAATCCGGGGAAACCCGGCTCTGTGGAAGAACAATGAACCATTGAAGAGCATATGATTTGTGCCATCGTACACATGTGGAAGACGGTATCTGAGAAACATTTAGTGATTCTACTGTGACCATCAATCGAGCATAATGTGAGATTTTCCTATATTGGCAGAATGAACAAATGCTTGAGCTCCTAAAGTGTACGCCACGTATCCTACTTTCGTTCGTGGTTGCTCTCACAAATGAATGGTTATTTGACCCATGCGATGACTGCCGAGACCTACCCTCACTTCAAGTGAATGCCTTTTTCTGCTACAAATGTCTAAATCACGAGCCCGAGAATGAAGGGTAGGTTAAACAGCGTGGCAAAATCAAGCGTAATGTTGACCCAGAACCCTGATCCCTCAAAGGAACCCAGATCCTTCAAAGAGGAGGCCAGCGAAGGGGCGGAAGTACATAAAACATAAAATTGCTAAACTTCTCATAAAAAATTCATATGGTCGAGGTGCGCCGACAACTTACGGCGCTTACAGAACCCCATAAATCCATAACGCTGTTCGAGAACATCCAAGAAAATTGGAGAATGGTTAGCAAATAGAAAAAAAGGGGCGGTCAATTTTTATGGTAGGTGTGATGTTTCAAGGTGGAGGGTCAGCCAAAATCGAAAACATGTAGCATCGCTTCCAAAATAGCCTGGATGTTGGAAGCATTTGTAGAGCGACCAGTCAAACAGAGAAGGTCTGATGCCTATGAGGTCTGAGCGCGCACCTAGTCAGACTCCTCTCGAATCGAATCTGGCACTTTTCCCATTCTTTGTCGCCAGGAAAATCTCCGTAAACACTTCGGAACCGCTTTCACACCACCCTTTCGAAGCGGACCTTGCAACACAAGCACAAAGCCCTCCAGCGCCGGTGAACTGGAACCATAGTGGTTGGCTTGGACAAAAACCTGACTAGTACGATTCCACGCTAAAGTCTGCTTCTTGGGTGGTTGATCTTGCGCCTTGGCGACAAAGATCTAGGCTTTGACGAAGGCGAAGAGGCCGAAACGTAAGCCTAATAAAAGTTCTGAAATCTTACATAGACTACAGC